GGGGGGGGGGGAGGGCTTTGAATAACATCATGTTTAAACTGCAGTGATTGTCCTAAATATATGAAGAAGTCATAGGCTTGCCGAGTTGGTGATGAGGGCTTTAAATTAAAGCTGCCAGGGAAGAGGAACCTCAGTCCATCCCACTCCTACCAACTTGATGTCAGTGTCAGCAATGGATGCCCAGAGCCCAGAGAGGGGTCACAGGGCAGCAGGAGAGCACCCGAAGAGCAGCACTAAGGAGTTCCAGCCAGTAAGTCAGCTTCATCAGGGGCCCAATTTCAATGCCTCTATGCAAAGGCACATAGCATGGGGAATAAACAAGAGAAGCTAGACACGTGCGCACACCTGCAGGGCTACAGTCTTATTGGCATCATGGAGATGTGCCATGGCTCCTGTGACTGGAGTGTAGGAATGGCAGGATACAGGCTCCTTAGAAAGGACAGGCAGGGGAGACAAGGAGAGGGTGTCACCCTCTATGTCAGTGACCAGCTGGAGTGCACAGAGCTCTGCCTGTGGAGATGGGAATGAGCTGACCAAGAGCTTATGGGTCAGGATTAAAGGGAAGGCAGGGACAGGAGATGTTATAGTGAGGGTCTGCTACAGGCCACCCGACCAGGGAGACTGAGCAGACGAGGCCCTCTATAGACAGGTAGGTGCAGCCTCACACTCACAAGCCCTGGTTGGTCTTCATGGGGGTCTTCAACCACTCCGGTATCTGTTGGAGGAACAACACTGCAGCACATGAGCAACGCAGGAGGCTCCTGGAATGCATTGATGATAACTTCTTTTTCCAAGTAATGGAGGAGCCAACGAGAAGAGGTGCTATGCTGGTCCTTGTTCTCACCAACGAGGGGGGACTGGTGGGGAGTGTGGAGCTCAAGGGCAGCCTTGGCTGCAGTGACCATCAAATGGTGGAATTCAGGATAGTTAGGGCAGTGAGGAGGGTGCACAGCAAGCTCATTACCCTGGACCTAAGGAGAGCAGACTTTGGCCTCTTCAGGGACCTGTTGGCAGAGTAGCATGGGATAAAGTCCTGGAAGGAAGAGGGGCCCAAGAAAGCTGGTTAATATTCAAGGATCACCTCCTCCAAGCTCAGGAGTGATGCATCCCAACAAAGAAGTTGTAAGAACACCAGGAGGCCTGCGTGGATGAACAAGGAGCTCCTGGACAAGCTGAAACACAAATAGGAAACCTACAGAGGGTGGAAGCAAGGACAGGTAGTCTGGGAGGGATACAGAGAAACTGTCTGAGTAGTCAGGGTTCAGGTTAGGAAAGCTGATAGAATTAAATCCGGCCAAGGGCATCAAGGGCAACAAGAAAAGTTTCTATAGGTACGTTGGTGATAAAACAAAGACTAGGAAAAGGAAGTAAAGAGGAGATCAGGTTACCCGGGATATGGAGAAGGCTGAGGTACTCAATGTCTTTTTGGCTAATCCACTATCCATCATATTTGAGAAGTCCCTCACACAAACTCCAAAATATGAGAGATGCTCAGAGAGCACCTAAATCAGAGCTTTGAGAGGAAGAGCAGGAATAACGGTTTTGACAACAGCTAGAGGTCGGTTGCCAAATGTCCCTGCAAGGACAGGAGCCATCCCCAACCAATTCCATTCCTCCATTTCTTCCGTCAGGGGCCCACCTCCCACATCCCCAGTACACTTAGGGATCCTTTTCATGTGCATTTTGCATATAAATGCTCTTTCATATCTGGTTTGGTTTCTTTCCAAAATATTCTGAACACCTTTCAAGTCACAAGGCTGTGCCAAATTCAGCATATCCAAAGCCTATAAACATGAGCATAACGTAAGAAACTGGAGAAGCTGATATTAAAGGATTTCAGTATTTACTACTAATGCTCTGCAAGAAATGAATTTAGCCAAAATAAGAAAGGGAAGAGCAGCCAATGGTGAATTTACAGGATCTTAAGTTCTAGTCTGGAAAAGCTGACCTTTAAGTTTTCTTCTGAAACTCTTACAGTTTTATGCTAGATGTCCTCTACTCTCCATTCTACATCTTCCCTCTTCCCACCTCAATAAGGAATCAGTCAAATTTCTGGATTAGTCTGGAATAGCCCGTACAGTACAACACGCAACAAAAAGCTTTTGCTTGCTGTTGCTATTTGCCTGAGATGCTCCATATGTAGAAAGAACTTGGAAGAGGCCCTGTCAAGCTAAATTCAGTACTACAGAAACTCTTTCAAAACAATATTTTATTTTTTAAAATTATTTTTGTAAGAAGAGCCCTTGCTTCCACTATGCAATTGCTGTGAGACTCTAAGACAGTTGCTGCTACAATAGGTATCAAGTTTAAAGAGTTGAACATAAATAATACAAAGGAAATAATTATCTCTATGCAAAAATGTATGCACACATAGAGCATATATAGATGTGTGAGTGCGTGTATTTATTTACCTGTATATATGCAAGTGTTTGTATACATGCCTCCCTCATCCTACCATCACAGTGGCAGAATGCAATGTTGAAGCCTATTTCAAAACAAAACAAATTGCCTGCTGGCATTTCCATTTCAAAATGTTTCAGTAAATTGTTTTGTTAAGAGTACTATCATTTCAATCTCACTTAATCATTATTCTTCTAAACAGCATTTCCCTTTTAAAAATACACTGTTTTTTTCTACTAAGTTTTGTGGATTTATAAACTTCACTGTCCCTAAAGTAGTAATGTTGCAGAGCATGATGATTACATGACTAGATTTGATGTTGCTATGCCTGAATTTTTTTCTGAAAATTAGGTCTGAACTGGAAGGCTGTATTGTCTTCACTGTGAGTGGAAACAACGACATGAATAACAGAGAAATTTATGTAAATGAAAAAGATCTTGCTCACTTAAAAATACGTGTAAAATGCATGTATTGCTTAAAATGACCTCTCCAGTAAGACTCATTAATTTCATTTTTGATTGAAAATTTTCTCTAAGACATCAAGAAAGACTTTCAGGAAGGGAAAAAGTGAACACTGCTCTTAACTTCAAATACTTGTACATTTTCTGTATGCATATGTAAACTAATAGGAGTTCACTGACTACAGCATATTGCTTTCAATCCTGCAAAGGCAAGTACAGTATCCATTACTTCCCTGAACCAAATTACAATATTCACTGAAGTCACTGGGACTCTACCCACTCACCTCCACAGACCGTGAACCAGGTCCAGGTCCATACGTTAATTGTGCAGGAGGGGGCACTAAACCTTATTCCAAAAACCTTTCTTTAGTACTGCAGCTACATCAGAAGTAGAATTGCAAAAGAGCATAGAAATGCACAATTCAGAATCACATGGGGTCTCCTCTCAAACTCGCAGACATGCAAATTACAAGCAGTGAAAGATAGGAAGTCCTGGATTCGTCTTTCTGCCCTGGAACACCATGTAGTAAACTGCCAACCACAGCATGTAGTCCCACATGTCGGACTGTGGTTTCATGAAAGACTTGATCCAGCATTCTGAGATAGTTTGAACTGAAGTCTTAGTCAGTTGTGACATCTGCGTCCTCTGTAAATTCCACGGATGAGGTAACCTGGGTCAAACTGTGATGAAAAAAATCCATATTCATTTCACTTTTCCCCAGCTGCTTTTAAGCTTTATTTCCCCCATAAAACTGCACAGTACTTAAATTCTTAACAAACAGGAATTCTTGGTAAATATATCTAGAGTAATACATCTATTAGTAAACTTAAAAATATTATAATGAATGTAACAAGTATAATAGTTACAAAAATAATATTAATTATGACCATGCACATACATTTATTTAATGCAAACTCTCCTCTCTGGACTCAGTCAAGTACAGAGCAGAGTCCTCACCAGCTTTCTTACCTACATTTGCAAAGACCCTTTCTTTGTACTTCATCACAGAAGTTTTGGAAGCACATTTATTTTCCTGCTCAGGTTAAAAAAAAGTCTGAACAGGACATCTGAGTGATTCATCCAAATCCTTGACTAGATGTTTCAAAAAAGCCAGATATTTCACCCAAGTCAAAGATTATATAATGCCTCCATCAAATCACACTCTCTGTCATCAAGGAGTTTACAAAGCAAGCAACATGAACTACAACATTTTGAAGTAAAGGCTTTCCATGTGTTATCACATTCTGCCACGTCATAGTTATCTTGTGGTTTATCTCTCAACTGAACAGCAGGTGTGAGGTGCCTTTCACTTCAATTACATGTGTAACCAGAATGTTTTAAGTGTTTCTGACATGGTGTGTATGCATTTCCTTTTTTTGTTTGTTTTGGTTTTTTTTGTTTTTGTTTTTGTTCTGAAGGGATAGCTGGCACCGTCGTTGCCATTCATAGCATCTAGCAGCTTCCAACCTGACATAAAATCATTCTTTGCCAATATGAAATATCCGCTGGTCATGACGCATGCTGTTTCTCATCTCTGAAGATGTGAACATGCGTTTCCATACCCTGCTATCTGCTGAGGGCGAATCTCTAAAAAGGGCAATGGATAGCAGGTCAATGGATATCAAAATGATTTTTTTTCCCATAAGAATTCTTGTAGTAAAGAGAAGATGCATTCAGTCACTTAATATATACAGACAGGGACAGTACATTGCATTATAAGATCTTTCTCACTTATGTACCATTAACATTAACCAGAAAAGTAAGATTTTTAAAGGCTCAGATGCAAAAGGAAGATGTTGCTGCAAACCATGTTAGACAACCCACACAGCTCTATGAGCATCAGTGTGATACACAGACAGCATCAAAACAGAAAAAAAAAAATTGTACTGTACACAAGAGCATCCATTTTCTAAGCGCTTATTTTATATATGTAAATATTTTATTGGAACAAGAAATACATTCAACAAAATATATGGAAGAAAACATAAAAGCATAGTTTACATTAAAGTGTCATCCACACATTAAGGTAGTTCTGTGATGTCTGCTCTTGGTTGTCAGACCTGCTTCAATATGACTAGGCATCTCAGGGAAGTTTTTACAGAAGATAGGTGGTGGAAGGATGAAAGATGGAAAAACAGAGTAATAATGATGGCTAGTAGATCAAAGTATTAAGTAGTTGCCAATGGAATACCAAGATAGTAGGTAGACAAGTCCAGATAACAGATTCTTACTGTCTGTGTGTGTGGGAGGTGTATATATATAACTGAAAGGAATGGTGTCAGTTTTAAGGTATGATAAGCATCAATGTTAAAATATATGTTGTTTATACAATACAATTTTTTACAAGCCTTCTAAGATGTATATAATTGTTTCTGCCCTGGAATGCTTAAAATGAAATGAATTATAATTATATTTCAGTAATGTATTCTACCACAGAAGTTGAAACTAAACATGTCCATCAGGGGAAAAAGGCAGGTGCTGTGTTATTTACATCATGTTTCAAGTGAAAATCACCTAAACAATTTCCAAAACACAGAAATTTTCTCAGTGGTTTACTCAGCTAATAAGATCTATTTCAGTTGAAATCTATTTTCCAGTTCCTACTATCTGAAATTTTATTCTGCCTTCTTGGGAATACTGCTACAGTAAGAAAGACTTTGAAATAATAGAATGTGCAATAATTAAGCTTTGAGATTATGAGTGTTATTTGGAAGTCTTGAAAAAATGATTGTCAACTTCCCTCAATTAGAATAAAACACGGTAACTCCTATTTCCAGTGATTTCAGCTACAGATGCAGAAGTGATAGAGAGGTATCATCATTTCTATCCTATAATGGTTTTGCTGTCCTTCCTTAAAAGTCTACATTGATTTAAAGTTCTTTTCCCTCACAAAATCTTTATGGTAGCTAGATAGCATAGCTTTCAGATTTTATCTTGCCATATGTTTCAAGTTGTGTGCTTCAGTCTGCATCTGCTGAGTATCTGCTACAGTATGGCTACAACATCAACTCAAAACAATTGGGACTACAGCCTTTACAATAATTACTCTCTGCAGCTGTTGAAATCAGAATCTTTAAAAAAAATGTAAAAGCTGTAGCTTCTCTCCCTCTATTTTTATCTAAAGTAAAAACAACCACATTTTGATGGACTTTTTGCAATGAAAGATAGAAGCAGATTTTTTTCAAGGAATAATATAAACACACACTGCTTTACACTATGGAATAAAGGTATATCTGGCTTTTGCCATGACAGGTGATTTAAAGAAAACTGCATGTGGAAAAAACTGTTGTAGTACAATACATCTTAGATTTCAGAAGTCTCATTTGGAAAACGGTATTGACTAAGTTCTGCTTTTCCACAAAAATTTGCTGGTTGCCAGAAACTGAAGAATTTATTAACAGCTAAAACCCTAGCAATCCTAAGTTTCCCCCTCTTATGGTTTATGAAGGCACTGCCAACCTCTTTATCTCAACAGCTAGACAGCGAAAACAAAATCAACCTGTCTTTCCAGCAAATATATTCAAGCACCTGCATGCCGTTAGATGTGGCATCACTATAATGATGCAGAAGTTATAAAGAAACATACTTACAGCATCAAGGAAGGGTTTGATTCTGTAGTTCATACAGAACTGCTTGATTAGACTAATTCATTCATAATCTGAAAGCAATAGCCATTTTCAGCTGATCCAGTAGTATTATTTTAAAACTGCTGTGATTAAAATGATAGGATCACATAAAGAATCAGTTGTAAGGCATCTCAGGAAGACACAAGCAGGATCTCTACTGAGAGCAGACAAGGTTGCTCGTGGCTTTGTCCAGCCCGGTCCTGAAATCCTTCAAGGACAGAGGCAGCACGGCCTTGTTGGGTGGGCAACCTGCTCCACTGCCTCACTGTCCCCTAGGGGAAAAAGGTTTTCCATGTATCCAGTTGGAACCTTTCTTCTCTTGTTTAGACTTCCTTTCACTATCTCTTGCTCTTCCACCGTGCACCACCATCAGCAACCTGGTTCTACCTTCTTCATCACCTCCTCTCCTCTCTGTATAAAGATCGTATTACGTGTTCCCAAGCCTTCTCTAGATTGTACAAGTCCAGGAGTAATAATGTAAAACAAAAGGAGTTTTTAACACATGTAAAAATAGTAACAGTGAGTGCAGATAGTATTATTACTGCTGCTAAAACAACCATAAATTGGCATACTGTTCCATTAAATAGAAGAAACCATGTTTCTGCCCCAAACGATTGAGGGTGTAGATTTTCAAAGGTACTTAAGGTAGCTAATTTCCATTACATTTGGTGGAAGTCAGCTATCTGGGTAGTTTCAGATATTCACCCATGACACTGTAAGAAAACATGTCACTGTCATCGCAAGCTGAGCCCTTAAAAGACCAGCAAAGAGCACAGTTTACTGTAAGCATGTTAGCAGCCACACCTGTAACACTTTCAAATCTACAAGGAGCACATGCATAAAAATTTTCAGACTAGTACCTAAAGAAAGACAGTGCAAGGAAATAAAAAAAAGGGACGGCAATAAATACGGGGACAAAGGATGTATATGTGATGCTCTGGAATATATTTTAATAATAAAACCAGCTATTTCCTTTTTTAGTATGTTGACAAGCCTGCTATACGAATCTTGTTACTGTGATGGTGAGAAACTTCATTTTTAAATTTCAAGACTAAATCAAAAGCAAAGTCAACACTTTGGGGATTGCATGATACTAAACAATATACCAGGTGAATTGTTCTGGAGGAGTCTTACTCCAGCCACCAGCTGGAGAACTGAAGCTCAGTTCTTCTGTTTGTCTGACTTCTAAGTGTCTGCAGTTGAGATGAACTCTGTCCTTTGGCACTACATTAGCCATGGCTCTCAGGCTCTCTTTTGAATGAGTTCCTCAAAGCCACCCCTTTTCTTTGTGCATCAGGACTTGACACAACATTCAAATTATTAGAATAGTTGCCATAGAAGCATTTGGAATCTTTCTGAAATAGAAAATAAGCCTTTTTGGTTTATTTTTTGATCTACCCAATGATTTACTCTCATTTTGCAAGGATGCTGCTTTTGGCAGGGATTTATTACATTTTCTGATATATGTCAGAAATATCTAGAATGATCAGACAGGTCCCTTCCTGTTACTTTTGTTTTATAAATTTAAGAATTAATAGCTAGTAAATAAATGCAAAGAAAATTACTGCTAGGCCGTAAAATGTTATATTACCATTTTATGAACATTAATGACAATTTAAAAAATGTTGCAGTTCAATCTGCCCAGGCAGACTCTAACTTAACAATTCTGTTACCTAATTAAATCTTCATTACCTATAAAATCAGCCAGCCAACATAGCTATATGTGGATGAAGTTACTAATTTTCTGCGGAACTTGCACCATGTAATACAAGGGCAGGAGTTTAGAAGCTAATTTGGAGACATTGAAAGAAGATGCACAGGAAACATTTTCTTTCAATTATTAAACTACTACTTGTTCAAAATGTGTGGGAATGAAAGATGTACTGGTGTGAAGCTGATGTGTTGCTAATATAAGGTCTACATGGTAAAGCATTAAATGATGCATTCTGATAATCGAGTTCACCTGAACTCAGTTTAAAAGAAATTATAGACATTTTCTTTCTCTTCTTTTGAGAAGCAGTGTACAACTTTCTTTCTCTCTAAATACATACATCTATATCAGTATAGATATAATCAGTGAGAAAAATATACTAGGGCTAAACAAAAGTATATCTATCAAACTAGTGCTTTTTCTTCTCACCCAACTTTAGAAATGCATGTGGAAAGTGCATTGAATCTGAGCTGTGCACTAGATCCAAGGAGCACCACTTATGAAAAATGTAAATACTTGCAAAAATAGAAACAGTTGATCCCACTAAGCTGGTAGATGTATTTGAACTCTGGCTGGAGTTCATCGTGACTTTTCTTAATCTTCCAAAATTTCCACAGGAGCTCCATGGTGAAAGCACGGGAGCTGGGCAAGAGGGCTGCTGCATTTTTTTCTGTTTTAATTAATGGGTCTCCAATTCTTAAAGCAAGATAGCAATCAAGTATTTAAATAACAATAGGATTCTCTGTTTGTTTTCAGGGACAGAGTGAAGATGGTAATTATATGAAGTAAGTCTTGCTCTTTCAAGGTTACTTCTCCCTACTCTGTCTACTTTTTCTCTCCAACTAAATGTAGACTAGAAGCACATGGAGAATAATAAATTATGGATAACAACTTTAATTCATAGACCTCATAACGGAGAACTCTCAGTGATCTCCACTTACTCTCCTATGCACCAGCAAACAAGCTATAAATCTTCTGAATATTGTTACTAATATCCCTATCTTTTCCAGTAATTACAAGCAATATCTCAAAAAAATAGTTGCCTTATTCACTCCCACAGTATTGTGGAACAGTTTGATAACCATGGATTTAGCATTAGTGCTGAGTTCAAATAAAGTTTAAGTCTCAATGGAAAATTGAGATTTTAGTCAGTTACTAGGACATATGTAAGTTCTTTGCTTTTCTTATATTTTTTAGCTATTTTTTTTTCCCAAGTAGAGGTGATACATAGGAAAATTGGGAAAAAAAAAAAAATTAGAAATGTTACCAAAATGAATACTGGATCAAATTATTTGAATTAATTTAAACCATAATCTCATTTAAAAGGAATTTCACTTGGTTAAAACCCAGCAAAATTCAGCCATTACTTCTGGAGTCTGGAGGCATGCTAAGTAACCCATGCAAGAAAAAATTTCCACAAGAACTTGCTTGTGGCCTGCCAGCATCACTTTAAAGGAAGTGAATACCATTTGGACTATTAGAAATTACAAGTACTTAAGATGGAAACAGCATCTCACCACCAAAAGGAATATGGCAAAAGGAAACCAAAGCTGTTATGCAGTGTGTGTCTATAGCAGCAATGGCTGGTACTAGTTAGGGTACTGAGAGCAATATAATAATAGGACCTCAGAGTAAGTTAGCTCACCCACATACTCACAGAATTTCATGAAGAACTTTTGCAGCCAGTGATAGCTGTATGTAGGCTAAAAGGCGATAAAGATATACCACATATTCTTCCAAAAGGCCATTGCCCTGAATCAGCTATTAAGACAGTTCTCTCACTTTTAAGACAAACAGGATGGACTTAAGTAAGTGAATAAATAATACCTCAGGTCAGAAGTCATTTATGGAAAAATACTGGTACACTGGTCCCTTTTGTCAATTCAGGAAAATCTTGACATAGATAAATTATAGTGTAAGTAAAAATCTCAATTTCATATTAAAGTCTACAATATCTAATCTGTTTATTTAGATCAGCTTGCATATGCTGTACAAGAGTGTTAAGACTAGGGTTGCCCCTTGAACATGCTATTGGAGTAAATTTGATTAACCAAAATAAATTAGCCCTGGACAGCAGGTATGCAAACATTATCTTACTAGATAAAGTTTTATGTTAAATCACAATTTTTTCTCAAGCTTACTATACTAAAATAGTTCTAAAGATAATAATAAAAAAGACCACAACCAAGAATGTGAATTAACAGGCGTACAATGTGTCTCTGCAACTCATTCTCACTATTGTGTTTTTATATTCAGCCTCCTACCAGCTGTAACTGAATCATTTTTCCAACTTGTTAAGAGTGGTTTAACTCTGAAGTTAATGTATTGCTGATCAGAAGGGGAAGGAATTTCCAAAATGAGTTTGAATCTACTCTTTCTCTTATATACAGATATATATATTCATGTGTAGCCACTGCCGCTGTGTTCCGTATGTTCAAACAGTAGGAGTCAACAGTAACAGAAGCTGCCCTGCATGGGGAAGATGGTATTCTTCTGAAAAACCGAGACCCAATTCCTACAGGCCTTCATCCATGAACAGCCTCACCACTCTGAATCACACCAAGAGTCACACATTCCCATCCACTTTTTCCCATGAATGTTTAATAAGGATGATGGTACTGCCCATCTTCTGATCAGGACTTAAGGCCTCAGGATAAAAAGGTCAGAAGAATTGCAAGTAATTATAATGACTATTACATTAACTGTAATAGTCACCCAACAAGTACCTGAACAAGAAAAGTACCTCTGTCTCCCATGGTTTCCAGACAGCCTCGTCTATGTCCAGTTTGTTTACAGGTTAACAGTGCATCCTAGAGATTGCATATGTAAGATCTAAAGGCTTTTTATCAAAATTAAAAAATCCAAATCACTTAATCATTGTTTAGTTCAATACACACAGATAAAAATCACATTTTACCAACACTATCTAAAACTTCATGTTTTAGCAGGACTTATCTTCGGTAATGCCTTTGAATAAATACCTTGAGAGGGCAATCTGCCGTCACAGGAGTATAATGGACCCATTACAAAGACCTTGTGCCAATATATTAGCTCTCCTTCTGTCATCTCTGGCTCAGACTTCCCCCAGCTCATCATTCTGGTCCTTGTGGTTGGCAGCTATTAAAATAACAAAGACCACAGTATATGACGTGAATGAAAAGGAAATAAATCAGCATGCTGCCTACCTCCTAATAGTACCATTTTCCAGATTATCCATGGCTTCCACAAAGGATCCACAAACACTTTTGGGAAGAGCAGGAAGGATTCAATACCTGAGAGACACTGGATGAAAAAGTTCTCAAATTCAGACTTCTTAAAGTTTCTCAAGGAAGTGGCCCAGGGTTTCTCTCAAGGACAGCTTCTTCTCAAGCAACATTCAGAGAAAGAAACAAGATGGTAAAGATTACAGGGCCATATTAGCATTTATGGGACACTGTAGCTGTTCCCAAGTCTTTTATAGACCTACTAGCTGACTTAGGAAATAGCACTGCATCCTCTGCCTCAGTTTCACAATCTGCAAAGTGTGAATAATGATACTGACATCCTTTCTTAAAGTGCTGTTGGAACTGTGTATGATGAGCACTTCATAGAAGCCGTGTGTATTATTATTCTCTTTTTTTTTTTTAAATTTGAGAGGCACTTGGATTTGAGTGAGCTAGATGCCATCTCTAAGAACCTCTCAAAACCTCAGAATTTGGTTCATACAATATAAGAATGACATGGCTGTGCCATCCCTCATGTCATCAAGCAGCATTTGAAAATGCAACATTAATTCAGCATGAGCTCGATTAGAGACTCAGATCTTTCTGGTTGCCTTGTTAGAGGATTTTGCTTTTCAGGGGGTTCACCCCTCTCCAAAGTGATATGATTTGCAAAAAAGAGCCCACAATGTATGCAAAGATTAGTTGCAGTAGTTCAAAAGAAAGTGGTAACCTTTCTGCTTAACAGCAGCATTCACTTCACTAATCTACTACTGCATTTATGCCTCTCTAAAGCCTCACCTCAATCCTCAGAAAACTGAAATTTTGTACACTGCTGCCATGTTTCATTGAAGCAAATTCTAATTTCCTTCCCCATCTAACCCATAAACGGACTGTTATTAAATGTCTACATATTCTTCTCAGTTCCAACTTATTTTCGTTTTGACCTTATATTCATGTGAAAAAACGGTAATGCTCAAAGATTTATACTTGAAGAGCAGGTGAGTGAATGTGTGCAAGGCGCAGAAGAACTGTGATGAATGCATCCATTTTCCAATACGCCTTTGATTGTTTAAATAGATTATACAACTGCCTTACAAAGAACATCGAGCAAAAGTTTAGTTTGAGGATCAAATGCATCTTCACCACACATCTTATACTCGTAAACATCCTTACCCTTGTACAAATGCATCTTCATATCTTGGATTCTGTATTGAATATACAATTTTGTTGGTGAATAAGTGGCACGACCACTATTCTGTGTATATCATTATCTATTAATAAAGCTATATAAAGCCATAATAAGCCTGTTTACTTGTAGTGACTATATAGCACCTTCAGCACAGAGTGAATAAAAAAGTTCAAAACAGAAAAGAAAATCAAACAATGGGCCAGAAATAATTCTAGAAGGAACAAAATCGGTTGTAGGTTAGCCCTGGTGAGCAGCTTAGCACCTCCCCAACTGTCTTTTCAGTCCCCCCAGTGGGATGGAGGAGAGAATTGCAAGGGTAAAAGTGCAAAAACTCCTAGGTTGAAATAAAGGCAGTTTAATAGGTAAAGCAAAACCTGCACATGCAAGCAAAGCAAAACAAGGCATTCATTCACCATTTCTCATTGGCAGGCAGGTGTCCAGCCATCTCCAGAAAAGCAGGGCTCCATCAAAGCAGGGCTCCATCATGTTTAATGGTGACTTGGGAAGACAAACGTCCCACCCTTCCTCGTTCTTCCTCAGCTGTCCTTGCTCAGCATGATGTCATATGGTGTGGGATATCCCTTGGGGCAGTTGGGGTCAGCTGTCCCAGCTGTGTCCCCTCCCAACTTCTTGTGCGCCCCCTGCCTGCTCGCTGGTGGGAGACTGTGAGAAGTAGAAAACACCTTGACACTGTGTAAGCACTGATCAGCAATAACAAAAACATCCCTCTGTAATCAGCACTGTTTTGATCACAAATCCAAAGCACAGCACCACAGGAGCTACTATGAAGAAAATAAACTCCATCCCTGCCAAAACTAGTACAAGACTATAGGTGAATTTCCAAGTAACAGAGAATCCCACGCTACTGAGCTCAGCATCCAGTGAGTAGGCAACTTATGGTGGAAATGAAAACCAGAGTTACGGGGTTCTCTCACAGTGAGAGCCAGAGGAACATGCGCAGAAAAGAGCAGGGAGAAGAACTGACTGGTTGAAGGTTGAAGGTTGCCCAGCTGTGGACAAGCAGACGGGCAGAAACCTGCCTGTGGGCTAGGACAAATGACTTGAAGTGCAGGAGGAACAAAGAAACAGGCATACATACGAACCGAGAGTGGCAGAGAACAGCAACAGAAATAATGCGATGGAGGAGGAACATCTTGTCAATATGAGACACTGTTTGACAATGGTAGAATAGGGTGAACAGCGAGTCTGAAAATAAATCTGAACTCTGCGTGACAGAATCAAAGGAATAAATTGCCCTCTGAAAAATGTCATGGACTAAAAGTTAGCTCAAATGCGAGCCAGAAAAGGAGAGAGATCTTGGTAAGTCTGCCCTTAGCATAACAGGTAGACTCCCTTTCTTCTTACTAACTGCAATTTTTCAGAACATTAGTGCCAGGAAGGCTTGAACCCTTTTGACTGCCATCCCTAGCAAAGAATCATTTCACACATATTGACAGAATGTGAATCTGACCTTGAATCCACCATGTTCCATCTCTTTCAGAGCCTGATCCTGAGACAGCTGATAACAACTGTCTTTCAATCTTTGAGCTGCAGAGTGCCACTAAATAGAATTGGCAAAATATGTTTGTTAGTTATCCACCCTTATCAGAAACTTTCAGCACTCTGTATGAAAATAAGCCCCCGCAGCATTGCTTCTACAATTGCACTGATTATTTTAGCCACTACGAACACATGGGGTGGCCATCTTCAAGGTTGATTTGATTTTTTCTACAATTATTTTTTGCTTTAATGTAAGAATATAATGTGCAGAACACTGTAACCTATTCAACTGAATCAGGATGATATGTTATTGGACATATTTTAATGTGGATGCACTTTTATGTAATCCTGAAATACTTGCTATAGTAGATTGGCAATGTCTTAAAAAAATCTTTCTAGATGGATCCTACTATTTTCTTATTTTTAAAAGATGAACTGTTCTGCAAATTTTTATAGAGTATCTTTGCTGCGATTTTTGACATATGCAAAAATGCAGACTTTAGGACCATTTAAGTTTAAAAATTTCTTTCTCCAGAGAATCATGTCAATCTTACAATGCCTCATTGCCCCATGTGTAAAACAAGAATAACGTTTTTCTTTTCCCTTAAACCATCCCTTGCTCATCCTGTCTACTTAATCTGTAAACTCCCTGTAGCAGGAGCTCTTCCTTACTCTGGCACAGCAAAGCTATTTAAAGGGAGTACAATCACTTCAAACCCTTTTGATCTAATGCAAAATATATATCATACAGTAATCATCATTCTTACATGGCTAATTCTCACACCCCACTTCCTGTCCCTCCTCACCTTCAAATATTTTGGCATATTTCTATTGATTTTATAATACAAAACTGTTTTCAACATCTGTAATCATTGTATCCTTCTCCTCAAGGGCTAATTTTAACCCCCGAAGAACCAGCGTTGTGTACGTAAGGGATATATTTCAACACTTTCACCCTAAATTGTGCTGCATTCCAAACAGTCCAGTCTTAAAAGCCTTTCAATCTTCAAGCATTAAAAAAAAAAAAAAAAAAATTTACAAATTTAGCCTTGGCACAGGTATCCAGTTAAAGGACAGAAGATCAAACACATTTTTCCAAGGATCTGACAACAGCGTGGCTCTAAGGAACATGCGATTGACCAATGGCCTTTTTGTCTCTTGAGGCAGGCCTATTCCTTCCCTGAGTAACCAGCAGACTGGGAAGAATCAACTCCTTTCATTTTCTTAGGAATTGCTCTTTCTAATCTGCAAGTGCTGATGTAGCACAATCAGGGGCAGACACATTGCAATAAAGGTTGCAAGGAAGAAATTGCAATGCTGGAACGTGGTCAGTGGATTCATTTTAATGGTTCTGCATATGGCTAGATAAAAAAAGCATCATTGATTTCCTGCTGACCCTCTCCTCCAACTTAATGAATGAAAGCTACTCATGTTAAAAAGGCATGCGGCATGAAAAGGTCTGTTACTACCATCAAGACTGTGAGGAAAAACTGATAAACAAGGTTTGAGGTAATACCTGTCACATGAGGAAACTGCCCAGGTTTGGGATGTACAGAATACAGCATGCTAGCATTGCAAACCAGTGTGAATCTGGTACTATTTCTTTACTGTAATTCCTCTTTTTCAATTCTTATTTTTTGGCATCACTCAGAGAAGCAGCACTTTGAAGGAGCTGAACCCTGCAGGAAATACACCTGCACTACTCAACAATAACTCATCAGTCTTCAACACCTGATCCAGGTTCTTTGGTTCACCCAAGATAAAAAGGGAAGGAAATTGCTTCTGAAGAAGGGGTGACAAATTTCCTTTGGTTCAGATAAGTCCTGAGGAGGCATGAAAGGCTCCAAGCTATCTGCTGTCCTGTCCATCTTCCACACAGAGACCTGTGGGTTCCTCCAAATTTCACTGTTTTTTTCAGTCCCAAGCAGACCTAAAACCACTCGGTCTCCACTTAGGTGGATCAAGAGCAGGCTCAGACCAGCCAAGGAATTGTCCCAAGTTACCTAGTTTTTCCATCACTATAAAATTATATTCTGTCAAGAATCCCACTTTTATCAACTACACTATTTGTAATGCAAGATGCTGAAACACATTGAGAATAAGTGGCAATAAGTAGCCCTTATAGAAACACTGATTTTTCTAAGTTTACCTTTACTCTTTTGTTCCCTTTCTCCTGCTTTCCAATTCAGATTTTTACTCTTGGATCTTGCCCCTCTTATCACTAAGTCCTTGTGTACTTTATTCTTTATCACAGCTGAGAATTATGGGGAGATGAGATGGGACTAGAGGACTGTTTTGTTGCTTTCCTCTATGGACATGGCAAGAGGCTCCTGGTCAGAATGAGCTACAGACCAGACTCCATTTCATTTCTTTCACATCTTGCCTTCCAAACTTTCTATCAAAAATACCTCATTTCTTTCCATCCTTCCTCTCATTTTTGTTTTCGTAATGCAAAGGAGAACATCTACAACATGCCCTGATGCATGACTGCTCTGAATGGGGTTATCTCCACTTTCCTCCCCTTGGCTAGGTTTGAAAATTAAACATGAGCAAACTAACTACTACAGGCAGATGCATTTCACTGGCTTGGCTACCGGCCTTGCTTCTGATCTTTACATTTGTTTTTATCACCTTTCTCCATCTAACACAAGTATAAACACAGAGTGGTTTTGATTTTGGGGTTGAGGATGGAAACGCAGGAACTCCAAATTTTGTCCTTAGATCACCACTGCTTTTTAAATAGATCTGGGTAAATCTGTTCATCTCTCTAAGGTCCAGTATCTTCTCTAATGTCACATGCTACCAAGCACTTAATGCTCTCACAAGTATCCGAATTCCTCAAATGAAAGGCTGGTCAGAAGTGAAAGCTATTTGTGTACCTACCTTACAAAGGTGTCGTGATTTGAGGCTTCATCAACATAAGATCCTCAGATGAGAAACTGCTCAGTATCAGTATTCTGATTAGATTTGATAAAGCAGATTTTTAAAATTACATAGCTCATACAGAAATCAGTGATCCAAGCAAAAATTTGAAATTTTTCTCCAAAACCAGGCATAGCCTCTATAGAAGGAAGTAAAAATTAATTTTGAATACAGTGATATTTAAATGGTCTTTTATTGTTGATGCAGGAGGGGGTATCTGTGCCTGCGTCCATTGCTGCTCTGTGGGATTGCTTCCCCCTGGCACCTCAGCAAGGGCACTCCATGAAGAGGCATCCACTTCCTGATGCCTCTAGAGCCCCCATTCACACTATCCCACATGCCAGAAGCTGTTATGGCACTTCTAATGCTGTTCCAACACTAGCTCCTACACCAGCTCATCTGATGTGACATAATCCCAAAATGATTACAGATTGCTTCCTGACTGACAGCACAGTAGCAGAGATAAAAGAAGGACGCTGGCCGGAAAGGGCCTCCAGTCTCCTCTGTTCCTCTGCCAGGACACTGTCTGCACTTGTACTGGCAGCATGGGCAGAACCAGGCAGCAGAGGCCCATATTTGGTAGCTGGCCCAGATTATGCCAGAGTTGACCTTGCAAGAGTCAAATTAGTCCAAATCTCAGCCAAAAGCAACAGCAATGGAACAGATGGGGAGATGTCTCCAAGTAAGGCTGGCGTCAAGACCAACCCCACTCCACTCCATTATGAACAGCCGTACAGAAAGGCTCCTCAGCCCAAGAAGCAACTTCACAAGTCAGGCGTTGGCTGAGCCCTTCTGAGAACCGTGCTCCACACTGCTGGAGACACACTGAAGTCTAGCCTGCAGGCAGGCAGGCCAGTGATGTGGCTAAGTGTCAGGAGCTGGTTGGACTCATCAAACAGGGCAGAGAAACCCACTGGCATCCTCATAAATCACATGACACTATGCTCTTTCTTGCTCCTTCACAGCATGCCAGCATTGCAAGCCAGATGTTGCAGAAGTTCTTGCAGGATATTTTTGGCAGAACGTGACGTGTCTTGTCAAAGATGCTCCTTAGCACAGGGGATCCATCAGTTCCTACAGTATTACGGTGTTTTCCTGCTATAGTCAAGTACCATCAAGGACTAGAAAGCACAGAAAGTCCAAGAATTTGGTCTTATGGATGCTGAGAAAAGGGTAAACACAGTGTAATCATTTTAGCAGTGTTAACGATCTAATTCTTTGTATTACAGCTATTTTACATCTCCAATACATTATCAGTGCTACTTTTCACATTCTACCGTTGCGTATTCCACTGGATTTTCATACAAAAACAATTCTTTGCCTTCAAAAGTGGCCTTCATAATGAAAAAAAAAGAAGAGACTTGAAATCTGAAAACTGCTTACTTTTACCTGCCGCAAAAAAGGTTTTAAAACCTGTTTGAAAAAAGGCAGAGGAAAAGGCAACTGAGCCTTCACAAAAGGCAAGAAGGTGGCCTGCAAACTTGATATGTACTGGTCCAACCTAGAGAACTGGATTGACTTTGCTCTTTATGCACTTCTCAGTTAACATGTCAAGCCACTATGGCTCCTGAATTTTTTGAGCGTAACACTTGCTTTGAGTCTAGTATTTTTATTTTCTTCTTGTTTTCTAACGTAGATCACAAATTTTTAAAGACAATAACTGTCATCTGTTCTTCAAACTCCTTCTTCCCATCCCTCATTCATATTTTCTGAAAATTTTGTCTCAGCTGAAGGCATTCTGGGTATTTTGTATATAATGCAAGTGTAATGTTATTTTAATGAATGTTTGTACAGTACTGGTCCTTTAGTTAAATTATGTAAAAAACAGGTGCATTGGACATGGGTAATAAGAAAATAAGTCTGTTTCAGGAGCCTAATTGCTATGATGATGACTACAATAATAATACTGGCAAGCATTTGTTGATTTTTCTTGTGTAGGACCATTTTTGCAGTGAATAAATACTGGAAGCACAGCTTCTGGGTATTCTTCCACTGGATTTTGTTGTTTTTTGTTGTTTTTGTTTTTTAATTTATTCAAAATATGTGGGTCTCATTTACTCAGATCAGAGACAGCCAAATTTGCAGATAGCTGCAGAACCCCCAATAAGTAGGTTTTCTTTTTGCTACCACTGGTCACAGTTCCCCTTTAGCCCAAGTCTGGTTTTTGACCATTTTCTATTTGTGTCTTGCATGTTCTGTTTGAAATACCTTACAACCTAGAGACACTACACCATACACAGTTGATCTAATTCAGAAAAACTTTGCTACCAGTTATGCTGATGTGCTGATACTGAGCAATGCAAAATAACTCCTGACAAACATGAGTATTCTTCTACCACGGCTTGCACCTTAATCAATCAAAGTCAGCAAAAGACTCTTCTTAACTTCAATATGCTTTGGCTCAGATCTGCAGAGCCTGGTGTTTAAAGGCATTCGGGTACCTAGGGGAGCATGAATCACCTTCTGGATTTCCCAGTTGTCATAAAAATATGGCCCAAGTCTCAAATGATTCACTAACAATTCCTTCAGCAATGTTGTAACTGGCAGTATAGATTGCATGCATGCTTAATCCTTCTTGTTAGATAATTTTGCAATGAGTATCAGTACAAATGACAAGAATCTATAACTATGTAGGTATCTCCTGAATTAACATCTTTAATTTAACAGTCTCCAGCTAAACTAACAGAACCAGATTTACAGAAATACAAGGCTGGATGTTGCATTCAACAGTTGTTTTATAATTCAAGGGCAGTTTCAACAATGGAGGGCTTCCATTTTCCAGACTGTACTTCTGAATGCTGAGCCAAAACAGCATGCACAGCTTCACTGACATAGTAATAACTATTCGTCCAAGACGAACGCTAATTCACTCCCTATTAACAATGGATTAAATGACCAGGAGTGTTGAGCGGTGCTCTATTCAACAGTATTCTCTACTATTCTTGCTAGAAATGTGCTTCCAAAGGAACTATTTTATGCATCTGTTGTAAATGGGAAATGATATTTCAGTTTAACAAAACCTCTTTGTTATGATGCACAACCATTATTAATGGATTATGCTTTTAATCCACTTTGTCACATAAATAGAAAATGTATGGTTTGATAGGATTAAGCATTTATCAAAGTTTTTTTTTTATTATTAGTGCTTTTGAAACAGAGTTATTTTCTACAGAATTTTTTTGTACTAGTAAGTGTTTTAACTTCTTCAAAATAAATGTTTATTTTGGATTTTTAAACCAGGCAGTTGCTGCTTTTCCAACAGATCAGTGACTCACTCATACTCCCATTAACTTCAATGGGAAGAGGAGCACGGCCCAAGAAAATAATCTGTGAAAAACCTAATCTATATTCTGTCAACCCAATAGACATTAAAGGAATTAATTACAAATCTCAGAAATGAGAACAGT